CATCAAAGATCACTGAACACAGATCACCATAAAAGGTACAATAATAATCAAAAAGTTTGAAATACTGTGATAATTACCAAAATGTGACCCAGAGAATTATCAAAATGTGAGCACATGCTGTCAGAAAAATGGCACCAATAGATTCGCTTGACACAGGGTTGCCACAAACCTTCAATTTGTTAAAAAAAAAAAAAAAAAAAAAAACCTGTGAAGTTCAGTAAAGCTAAATGCAATAAAATGAGGCCTGCCTGTATACAAGTTCAGTATCCCCTATCCACAATGCCTAGGACCAGAAGTTTTTTGACGTTGGATTTATTTTTTTTTTTTGGATTTTGGAATATTTGCATTGTACTTACTGGTTCAGCATCCCTAATCTGAACATTCAAAATCCAAAACACTCCAGTGAGCATTTCTCGTGAGCATAACCTTTGAGCATCTTGTTGGTACACAAAAAGTTTCAGATTTGGGGGCATTTCAGATTTTGGATTTTGCATTATAGATTGTCAACCCGTATATACATATTTATGCATACATAAATGAATACATTGTTGCTATTGTTATTTTGAAAAGTTATATGCTATAATAGATCAGTTAAGAAGAAGAAAAATAAAACTTTTGGGGGGGTTGTTTTTTTTGTTTTTTGTTTGTTTTTTTGTTTTGTTTTGTTTTTTGAGACGGAGTTTTGCTCTTCTTGTCCAGGCTGGAGTGGAATGACGTGATCTCAGCTCACTAAATCTCCACCTCGTGGGTTCAAGTGATTCTCCTGCCTTAGCCTCCTGAGTAGCTGGGATTACAGGCGCCTGCCACCACGCCTGGCTAATTTTTTGTATTTTTAGTAAAGACGGTGTTTCACCATGTTGGCCAGGCTGTCTTGAACTCCTGACCTCAGGTGATCTACCCACCTCAGCCTCCCAAAGTGCTGGGATTACAGGTATGAGCCACTGCACCCAGCCAAAAGTTTTTATTTTACCTTCACTTTTTCATTCTTTGATGCTCTTCCTTTCTTTATGTAGATCCAGATTTCACAGGGTACAGAATTCTAGGTTGTTGATTTTTTTTCTCTTAACTCCATAAATATTTTATTCCACTTTTTATTTGTACAATTTCTGAAAAGAAGGCAGATGTAATGTTTATTTGTGCTTCTCTATAAGTAAAGTGTTTGTTTCTCTTGTGGTTTCTTTCAAGATTTTTTCTTTATTTTGATTTTCTTAAGTTTGAATATGATATGCATAGGCAGAAGGGGTTTTTGGCATTTAATCCTGTCTCGTGTTCTCTGAACTTCCTGGATCTATGGTTTGGTGTCTGACATTAATTTGGGAGAAATTCTCAGTCATTATTGCTTCAAATATTGCTTCTGTTTCTTTCTTTCTTCTCCTTCCAGCTATTCCCATTACACATGTTTCCACCTTATGTAGTGGTCCTATAGTTCTTGGATATTCTGTTATGTACTTTTATCAGTCTTTTTTTATTTTCAACTTTTATTTAAAGTTCAGGGGTACATGTGCAGGATGTGCAGGTTTGTTACATAGCTAAATGTGTGCCATTGTGGTTTGCTGCACAGATCACCCCATCACCTAGGTAATAAGCCCAGTGTGCATTAGCTGTTTTTCCTGATGCTGTCCCTCCTCCCAGCCCCTACCCTCCAACAATCCCCAGTGTGTGTTGTTCCCTCCCATGTGTCTATGTGTTCTCATCATTCAGCTTCCACTTATAAGTGAGAACATGCAGTATTTGGTTTTCTGTTCCTGCGTTAGTTTGCTAAGGATAATGACTTCTAGCTCCATCCATGTTCCTGCAAAGGACATGCTCTCATTCCTTTAAATAGCTGCATAGTATTCTGTGGTGTATATGTACCACATTTTCTTTATCCAGTCTATCATTGATGGGCATTTGGGTTGACTCCATGTCTTTGCTATTGTGAACAGTGCTGCAGTGAACATACACATGCATGTGTCTTTATAATAGAATGATTTATATTACTTTGGGTGTATACCCAGTAATGGGATTGCTGGGTCAAATGGTATTTCTGGATCTAGGTCTTTGAGGATTCACCACACTGTCTTCCACAGTCTTTGAAGTAATTTACACTCCCACCAACAGTGTAAAAGCTTTCCTTTTTCTCCACAACCTTGCCAGCATCTGTTGTTGTTTTTCTTTTTGTTTTTGCTATGGTCTGAATGTATGTGTCCCCCAAAATTCATATTGAAACTTAATCAGCAATGTGCTATTAGTAGATGAGGCCTTTGAGAGGTGATTAGGTCATAAGGGCAGAGCCCTTATGAATGGGATTAATACACTTATAAAAGAGACCCCAAAGAGCCACTTGTCCCTTCCTAATGTGAGGACACAGGTAGAAGGCACCATCTATGAACTAGGAAATAGGCCCTCACCAGACACCAAAGCTACTGGCACCTTGATCTTGGACTTCCAAGCTTCCAGAATTGTGAGAAATAAATTCCTGTTGTTCATAAGCTACCCAGTTTGTGGTATTTGGTTATAGCAGTTAAAACGGACTAAGACAGGTTTTCAGTTTTGGAATTTTCTATTGCCGTATCCTCAAGCTCAGGGATTATTTCCTTAGTTATGTCCAGTCTAATAGTTACCCCATCAAAGGCATTCTTCATTTCTACTAGTGTTTTTGATCTCTAATATTTGATTTTATTCTTCCTTTGAATTTCTCCTTTCTGCTTTTATTATCCATCTGTTCTTGTATGTTGTCTAATTTTTTCTTTAAAGCCCATTGCATATTAATCCTAGTTTTAAAAAAAAAATTATCAGTCTGATAAGTTCAGCATCTCTTCCATATCTGAGTCTGGTTCTGGTGTTTTCTGTATCTCTTAAAACTGTGTTTTCTACTGTTTAGTATGCCTTGTAATTTTTTTGTTAAAATCTGGGCATGATGTACTAGGTGAAAGAAACTCTCATAAGTAGCCCTTTAGTAATATGGTGGTAAGGTATGGAGGAAGGGAAAGCATTCTCTAGTTCTATGATTAGGTCTCAGTCTTTTGGTGAACCTGTGTCCCTGAACTGTGAACTTCACCAGTGCTTCTCAGTTTTATCCCACTCCCACCACCACCCCCCTACACACACACACACACACACACCGCTTTGGTGGGACAGGATGGCTGGAGGGGACTGGAGTTGAATATTTATCTTCCCCCAGGTCTGTTAGGTTCTTCTAAAACCCCAGCAGGTGAGGCTCTGGTAAAATAGTTTTTCCTGAGAGCAGGCCTTGTAAAGACCAAAATGGTCTGCAATTTCAAAATTGTTCCTTTTCCGCTTCCCCTGTCAGAAACATGAGGAGATTTTTCTCTGATATTCACTGTGAGGAACTGGTATATCTCCTGGAGGTAAAACTTACGAATGTGTGGGAGCTCTCCAATGATTGGGTCCTCCTGGAGTGTTTGTTTGTTTGTTTGTTTTGAGACCCAGTCTTGCTCTGTCACCCAGGCTGGAGTGCAGTGGCGCGATCTCAGCTCAGTGCAACCTCTGCCTCCCAGGCTCAAGCGATTCTCCTGCCTCAGCCTCCTGAGTAGCTGGGATTACAGGCACGTGCCACCACACCAAGCTAATTTCACAGACTTGTCCACACAGCCTCCAGCAATTGCTTAATTACAGCTTAGGTTTTCCTACCCAAGGACTGGGTCCCCTGGAGGTTTCTGCTCATGGGTTTTTGGTCCAGTAAATTGTGATTCTCTATATTCACCTGTCTGTATCTCCAGTTTTGTTTTGGGGGGAGCTGTTTGCCCTATAACCGCACTTCACTAACAAATATAAAAAGAGTTGTTGATTTTTCAGGTTGTTCAGCCTTTTACTTGTTATTAAGACAGAGTGGCAGCTTCTAAATGTCCTTACACGCTAGACTGGAAACTGGAAATCTTGTGTCTTAGTTTTTACATTTATCTTTCCTCTGTGGGACGAGTCAATGCTACAGTCGTGTGTGTGTGTGTTTCAAATTGTTGGTTAACAGTTATTTGAAAAGAAGTACATGAAAACGTGCATATTAAGAAATCTTGGGCCAGGTGCGGTGGCTCACATCTGTAATCCCAGCATTTTGGGAGGCTGAGGCGGGTGGATCACAAGGTCAGGAATTCGAGACCAACCTGGCCAATATGGCGAAACCCCGTCTCTACTGAAAATACAAAAAGTAACCAGGCACGGTGCAGGCACCTGTAGTCCCAGCTACTCAGGAGGCTGAGGCAGGAGAATTGCTTGAACCCAGGAGGCAGAGGTTGCAGTGAGCCAAGATGGCACCACTGCACTCCAACCTAGGCGACAAAGTGAGACTCTGTCAAAAAAGAAAAAAAAAAAAGAAAAAAGAAAAGAAAAGGAAAAAAAAGGAAGGAAGGAAAGAAAGAAATCTTGAAATGTAATTGCATATTCACTAACACAACTCTATCTGTGCCTCATATTTCCTTTTCCGGGCTCCCATATTTGTGTGCTCCCATAACCGTGTCCCTCAGCATTTGCTTTCCAGCCTGCTAACCTCTGGCACTACTTTGATTCTTCATTACTCCCCCTTACATTTTCAGTAAAAATAAAAGGAGTGTAACTGAAGTTAGAATCTGACTCTTTATACAAAGCTATGGAGCAGCAGGAAATTCTGAGTTTAAGTTTCTCAATGCTACATTCTTTAAAAACATCTGTCAGCAACATTATTATGTAGGCAGTTGTAGGTTCAAGGGAACTGGTCCTGTATTTTATTATTACAGGGCTGTTACCATTTCCTACATTTCAAATAAAAGAAATTGATGTTACCTCAAAATATCTTAGTTATATCTGAGGTGGAGAATGAGGAATATGATGTGAACTTTTGTGTGTTGGAATCCTAGTTCATTTATAAAAACGGGCCTGTGTGCTTTTGTGTCCATCTCTTGCTGACATGGCCAACTCAAACCTAAAGTTCTTCATCAAGAGGGAGAACCAACCTTTTTGTCGTATTCAGATGAACCACAAATGAATCTGGATATATGGTTTCATATTTTATATTGATTGTTTAGCCTTAGTATCACAGGCAGAAGCTCTGAAGGAAGAAAATGACAGCCTCCGTTGGCAGCTCGATGCCTACCGGAATGAAGTAGAACTGCTCAAGCAAGAACAAGGCAAAGCCCACAGAGAAGATGACCCAAACAAAGAACAGCAACTGAAACTCCTGCAACAAGCCCTGCAAGGAATGCAACAGGTAAAGGCATTTTGGTTTTCTGAGCTTCTGGGTAGAATAGCATCAGCTTCTCACCTGTAGAAGAGTCCCCTGCAAGCAAATCGAATATCAAACCTATTATTCTTCTTGATGTAATATTATCTGGCATGGCTGAGGAAGGAATTATTGTTGTGGTTAATTAAATATTCCAGTTAATACAGAGATAGCAATGGATTGCCAATTTTCAAAGAATGAGCATTAAATGAAAAATATTTAACATTAGACTACACTGAACATAATCTAATCTTTTCCTTATGCTTCAGAAGGTACTTAGGGATCTAGACAGGGCCTCAGGGTCTTTACGAAGAACCTCAATTATTTAGATATGAAAAAATGCTGATGAACACATATCGAGTTGATAGAATACCAAGAAATATAGCCTTTTAAAAGGAATGGCAGGAATCTACCCTTGATTTGAGTAGAAATAGGTACATTATAGGTTTTTAAGTGTCAATGCTTTGAGCGCATAATACCAACTTGTTTTTATTTTGTTTTGTATTAACAGTCACTTGTGTGAATGAGTTTACCTGTGCATAATTCAAAGTGTAAAAAGCAAAGTAAATAAATGCACCCAACTGTGATTGCATTCACAGAAGTGTAGCAGATGTTCAACATCTAGGAGTTTTATGTAACCATCACCACAGTGATTCTACAGTTTAAAAGTTATCAACAGCTGCCTTCACTATAGTAAAGGAGTAGTGCCTCTGAGTAAGGCCACTGTTGTCTTCTGTCATGCTAGACTACCAGCCATTGTCCTTTATACCTTAAATTGTGCAATAGTTTTTAACTGTATGCCTTGAAATTATCTAGGGCAAAGCTAATTGCTGGTTGGAAATTACAAGTCATGAACAATGGTCTATTCTGGCACTAGGAACCCTAAGTTATTCTTTCTGCCACCATTGTCTTCCTATACAACAAGTAATATGACATTAATATTTCACCTTTTCTGTTAACAAAATGTGTGAAGTAATGCTCACCTTCCTTTTACCGTCACCATGGAGTTTAATTAGAACATGTAAATTATATCACAGATCTTTCTATGGAAAAAATGCACCTCCTCACCTACACTTGAAAGAATTTTGACAATGTACATAGTACCATGCTTTTTAGCCCTTCCAATGGTCTTTTGCAAGCCTCTGAAAAGCACGACTTTGGAAATATTTTTGTTGTTGCTGTTTTTCCCCTCTTTGATTTTCAAACCATTTCACATAAGGATAGTTCTGCTACTTAAATGAAATTCAAAAATGATGAAATTTTATTTTGTTTCATCACTTCAAAGACCTCAGTGAGAATTAGGTCTCTACCTCTTAAAAATAATTTCACTCGTTTTGATTATTTTGTATTGAAAAAAAATGCCTTGTAAACGATGATAAAATTTCTCCCATCTTATCTCAAAAGATGTATAGTATAATAAGGTGTGTAAGGACATGAACTCTGGGGTTGACCCAACCTGCTTTTAAATCCCAGCTCTGCTACTGACTATCTGAATGGCATTAGGGAAGCCACTTAACCTCTCCTAGCCTTAGGGATCATAGTAACATAGGGTCATTGTGAGGCTTAATTGAGACCATGCATGTAAAACCCTTAGCACAATGCTTAGTACATATTAGGCACTCAAATAAATATTATTTGTTGAAATTATTAATAATGCTAAATATAGCTTCCTGCCTACTTATATGGAAACTAACATATGTAAAATTTGGATTCTTTACTACTTTCCTCACAGAAATTGAACTTGGCTTGGCAAATGGCTATTTGCAAGAATGCTTTACAACATTACATTTACTTCTATGCAGCAATCAAAACATTGCCCACACAGTATTAACTGCACCCTACTTTGACCCCCGCCCAGAATAGGGAAGAAGTTAAGTGACTGGATCAACTAGTTTCTCAGGACCTTTCTCAAATATTAACAAATTCAAAGGAATTTCTTAAGAGCCAGATAAAATAATGTAAAGTGAAAATATCTTGATTTGCCCAATCTCTTTATGGAAAAATGGTCGTGTGTGCTGGAGGAAAGTGAGGCAGGCCCACCTGATATATCTAAATTCAGCCAGGGATTTTAAATGAAGTGTGGCTCCATAATTCATAAATTGATTGTCTTTGGTCTTTCTTATAGCATCTACTCAAAGTCCAAGAGGAATATAAAAAGAAAGAAGCTGAACTTGAAAAACTCAAAGATGACAAGTTACAGGTGGAAAAAATGTTGGAAAATCTTAAGGAAAAGGTACATGTGCCCTAAGTGAACCTTTTTCCTTGCCCCTTTACCTACTTTTCAGTGACAATGAAAATGCCCTGGAAGTTATGCTCTAAAATCGATGGGGAATGTTTGGCTGATTAGAGATTAAAAGCCCCTCTCGGGGGTAATTCTTATACTAAGGGCTTTGCTTTTAGGTATGAGTCCTTGGCATTTCTAAGGGTTCTGGAGTGTACACCTTTCAATGAATAAGTAGTCGGTTCATCCCTAAAATTCCTCAGTCTTCTCTCTTGGAGACGACCAGAGTGCACACCCCTTCCCTGCTTCATCTTGTCAAGCAAATAGCAACATAGAAAACTCATGTGACACAAAGTACCTTTAATCGAGCATCTCATTAAAGGAAGAAACACAAGTGCAGCTAGCACATTGGCATTTCTTTGCAGCTAGTCAATTTAGTGTAATAATGAGCAACTGCAGATGAGAGGAATAGCCAATACCAAGAAGAGGGAAACCTTGGGGAAAAAAATGAGACACAGTATTCTAAAGCTAGAAGCCAAGATGGAACTTTATCAAGTGAGAGCTCTCAGCAATAAGAACCACCAATGAGGACCAGAGAGTCTAACATCTGGATGGAATCGTATATCACAACCATGAATCAGGTGCCCATTCTATTCCAGGTGTGTAAAGTCAACCTCTCCAATCTCCTTGATGCATCAATATTCAGCTGATGTTATCCTCTGAAAAGGGAAGCCCATTGACCAGAGCTTCCTTGTTTTGATATCTCTAAAGGAAGAGAAGATTAGGAGCTTGGACTGAGAGTCAGAAATCAACAGTGATACAGTTCCTCAAGAGCATATTCTCTTTATCTTCTGTTCTCAGCTCAGGAAGATGCAGTGCATACAGGCTCTGAGTGTGTTTACCAGCACAGTGCCTTCCCCTAGAGTGCCATTAAGAACTGGCAACCTTGGTGTAGTTGAAACAAATGATTGAAAGTGTTTTCTTCTAGAGGCCATTTGCAACGTGCTTTTAATTCTTCCACTTCATAAAACCAACTCACGTTCCAGTTTTGTGGACACTATTAAAGAAACAAGCATAATCCCAGAGAAATTCATTTATCAAGCATTTAATTGAAAAGCGCCAAAGCTGTTCTACTTATCAGGACTTTCCTCATACCATCAGGGCTTCTAAAATGTCCCAGAGCTGCCACATTTTGCTTCCTGCATAAAATGGATTATGTAGCCAGAAGACTGTAGATAGACATGGGGTTATGCTCATGACATTATGCTTAGAATTGCTCTTCAGGATTGACATCACAATTTGACCTAAGGACATTTTTTTGTGTAAGTAGCTTTCTGGTTTGTAAAGTATTTCATTTAAAGAAGTAAGAGGTAAGAGGTCAAATGGCATAGAAGAAACTTACCATATTGTGCCTAAGGACAAGTGTTTCCCATTTGCAAACTGAATAGACCATGAAGTGTTGGCTGATGAGGACGGGGAAAAGATCCAACTGATAATCCAAAAAAACAGTGAGTCAAAATATGTTTTTTCCTGTTATTTTAAGCAAAGGTTCTTTTAGAGAAATTCATGACAGTTCATTATAAACTGATCTTCTCTGGGAAGCTGATTTGTGACCAAATATTTCAACCTGACACAATTAGGTTAGGAAGCAAAGTACCATCACATTAGACTGCAAAAATAATTTCAGGTTGAAAGGAAAGCAATAAGTTTTGGTGAGGAGGCATCTCTTTTCTTATTTGCTTTTGTTTGGGTTTCTTGACAGTAAGCTACAGGGTGAGTTATTGTCAGTGTTTTGCAGTATAACAATGTGACTTATGTCTGTCTTACTGCGGAAAGAACTAAGCTCTTTGAATCTGCTAGTAAAATTCAAGGTGATAAGCATCCCTTCAATGTACCTTCTAATTTTTTAAATGCCAGCTATAATAAAATTGAAGTCAGGTTTAAGTAAGGCTGCAGTTCTATTCAAGATGGCTAAAACTTCCCAGAATATTTTCACATCTTAAATCAACCCCAATCTGTTAAACTCTCACACTTAAGAAACGGCTTGCCATATCATTTAATGTTTTAAGGGGGTCAGAAGCAGATGTGAAGCCCGTGGCTTAGAAGTGAACTAGTAGTTTAAATCAAACTTGGCATAATGGTTACTGCCTGGATTGAATTCTAAAGGCCAAAGATTGAGTAGGTCATCAAGAAAGGGTTCCCCTCTGACTACAGCTAGGAAGCCTGTAAATTCACAAAACAACATGTCTTGCGGCATAGACCATTCATTTCACTCAGAGACAGCATCCTGGAAGCTTTGAAGACATCTTTAAAGAAAACAGAAGGAATCCTGTCCCTGCTAAGGGTTTGTGGAAAGGAAGAAGTGAAAATGCATCTGAGTCAGCCATGATCTGCCCCCCCAAGGAGCATTTCAGCAGCATTTTCTTTTCAGCAGTAAAAGAAGCAGTGATTTCTTTTATTCCTTCTTCTGAAAGCTTTTCCTTCACATTTATAATAACAGAAAAGATATTCTCAGTACCCAAAGAGAGAAAGAAAGAGCCATGAAAGGTCTGGAGGTATTTTTCAGTTTGATTGCTGGTCATGGATTTCACCTGAGTTTCTCTTATGAAACCTTCCTGCTACACTCTGAAAGAGAAAAATTTTCCACAACAAAGAAGGCCATTGACTAATGCTATTTTTTGTCATGGTCATTTCTTGCTATAAAATCAGGAATATTCTAACTGATAATGTCCTTATCAGAGAGAGAGAGAGTAGTAAATGAAAAAATGAAAACTCTAATTTTTAGTTCAAAAACCAACAGTTGGTTAACTATGAGTGAAAAGAAAGCTCTAAGTTTTAGTCCAAAAACCAACAGTTTATTAACTATCAGTGGATTGGCAATGTAGCCAATGTAGATTCTCCGTTGAGATGGGACTTAACCATTAACAGAGTGTGGACCTAAAACTTAAAAAAAAAAAAAAAAAACCAATGGTCCTTTTAACAGTGGGATGAAATCCTGGCTCCACTTCCTTGCAGTGTGTTCTTAGTCAATTTACCTGAGCCTCACTTTCATCATCTGTAGAATGGAGATAACACTTATCTAACAGTGCCTAGCATCTTGTTAGTATACCATAAATGTTGGGTCTAGTTGCCCAGATTGCTTGTATAAAGTCAAGATGAAGGCAGAAAAAAAAAAAACTGGTGAAGGTAAATGTTTAAATGTTTCTGTGTTTTGGAGCCCTAAAAATAAGCTTTGGAATATCTGTGATGCTTTTGTAATTTATGATGTTTTCCCTCCCATTCAGTAATCTAAATTGAACAGTATTGCTTTTATAGTCCTGTATTAAGTTACCTGTTGTGTAGTTAATTGAAACCAACTCTATTGCCAAATAAAGTGAACTGACCTGGGAAGCATGTTGTGTCCACAGGAAAGCTGTGCTTCTAGGCTGTGTGCATCAAACCAGGATAGTGAATACCCTCTTGAGAAGACCATGAACAGCAGTCCTATCAAATCTGAACGTGAAGCACTGCTAGTGGGTAAGGAAGCTAATGCACACATGCCACGTACAATGCCTGGGTACAATGGAGGAGGGGAGGGCTTTACCTAAGATTAACAAGCACACGTCAAGCATTTATGAAGCATGGCAGCGCAAGAACTCAGAGTTCTGAAGATGATAGGTTAAGAACAACTACAAATTTCCAAATTTAACAGCAGCTGCCAGCCCCCCTCACACTCCTTGTAGCCACTGCCATGTCAAGCAGTCAAGCATGTCAGTACAAGCACTAAGCTAAGAGGGGTCAGCTGGAGAAACATACTGTAGATTTTTTTTTTAATATCTGTGCAAGGATAGATAAGCCCTCTCATGTCCACTCAGGGGGCTAGTGCAGACCCTACTTGGCAGAGAGTTTTTCCAGAGAGCCTCTGGAGCAAGTATAGGCAAGTTTTTCCAGGTTACTAACTAAGCTATTTTTACACTTCTGACACCAAATGACAAGGGATTATTTGTTTGTTTGTTTGTTTGTTTTAACCTCCTGACACCAGATGCATGGTGTCTTTTCCAACACTACATCTCCAACTCTTCAATACCAAGTGGGTGCCCTACAGTTGAATTCCGTTCTCACACTCACTACCCAAAGTTAGAGTTTAACATTAGACTCCATGGGTTTAAGGGCTCAGTCCCGGAAGACTGCCCTCTCTATAGATGCCAGTCTCAAATATAGGGTCTCCAAGTATCCTCTACTTCTGTCTGATTTGGCTACAAAGTCAGGGGTTTCCACAATACCTACCCCAGGTTTGATAATTTGCTAGAGTGGCTCACAGAACTCAGGAAAGTACCTTACTTACTCCTACCGATTTAGTATAAAGGATACAATGGAAGAGGTATATAGAGCAAGGTACTTCGAAGGGGTATGCGGAGTTTCTATACCTTTTTGGGTGTGTATCTTGTGTTTGCCAACCAGAAACCTCTCTGAACCCCATCGTTTCAGAGTTCTTATGGAGGCTTCATTATATAGGCATGATTGATGAAATCACTGGCTATTGGTGATTAACTCAGTCTCCAGCCACTCTCTCCTCCCTGATGTTCCAACTCTCTGATCATGCCTAAGTCTTTCTGATGGCCAGCCCCAATTCTAAAGCTATAAGGGGCCCCCAGCTACCCACCATCTTAACTCTTATCACTCCAGAAATTCCAAGGGTTTTAGGAGCTGTGTGCCCTGGGGACCAGGGACAAAGACCAGATATTTATTTTTTGATTATATCACAGTGGCAGATGACTCAGGAAGCTGCGGTGTGTTGGACACTAGTGGGCTTTGATGAGGTTCATGCTAGCATTGCTCTCTGTAAAAAGTCATTCAGAAAAGCAAGATGGCACAAATGTTTAAAGAATCAGACAGACCTGGCTTCCCATCTTGACCCCACCATTTCTTCTCTGAGCTTCAGTTCCTCCATCTGCAAAATGGACATAGTGATATTACCGACCCAAAAGGGCAGTTGTGAGTATTAAATACAGTAACTCACCTAAATCACTTAGCATAGTCCCTGGTCCATAGTAAGCCCTCAGTAAGTAGAAAACATTTTACACTTCACAGCACTATTAACCAATGCTGGCTAACTTTATATTCCATTTGGAGAACAGTGGCAGATTGAGGCTGTAAAATATTTAAGAGGGGCTAATCATTTAAGAGTGACTGGTCTTGGGCCACAGCAGATAATCCCAGCTGCCATCTAGGAAGCTGAGCTATACAGTAGCCCCACTCTAGTCTCAAAAGCCCTCCACACTGACTGGCTTCTGCATATTTTTAAGATAGCTCTGCCTCCTTTGGTAATGGATATTATCCTCAGATTTAACACTTTGATATGTTAATAAAGATGCACAGGGGGACCTGCCATTGAATCTTCAAGAAAAGTGACAACTTATTACAACTTATTAACGTCTTCCAACTCCAATTTCTTAACAAATTGGCATGGCAACAGGGAGACCTGTCAGAGAAATGCTGGGGATAGAAGGAAGCCTCTGTGAATGGATAGTCCTAGAAAAAAAGATTCTTAAAATAAGTGTTTCTTGTTTTGTTTTTTCAAGAAGGTAGTCTTGGGCTGGCACAGAGAAAGGAAAATCTATTTTTCAATCAGCTTTTTGGGTGTGAACCCACAAAATCGCTTGTTTTTAAACCTCTGGAGTTATTTCTTGGCATTTGACAGCCTTTCTTGGCCAGGACATCTAGAATTTCTTCAAACATGGAATGTCTTCTTCAGAATTTAAGTTTCTCAGCCAGAATCAGTGTTTAGAACTTCAATTTACCTAGCCATTTAAGAATAAAGTAATGTTCTAAGTAATAGCATCCCTTTTGAACAGATTTTGAGCCCTGCCATCAGTTCCTTCTGGAACCCCTCTCCAACTTACCTCCTTGATTGAACTTCAAACACCAATTTAAACCTGTGTTAGTCTTTTGTCAGCCTCTTAAAGGGACAGACAAGTTGTAGTTTAGAAACCAAATCAAATTTTGCTTTTATTTCCTGGCAATTTTCAACAAACTCAATTCTGGGTCTATTTGATGCACTTAAGATCTTATGAAAGGAGGTGAACTCAAAACAAATTGAAAGAAAGAAATATTATACTTTTGAGCAATTTATTTTCCACCTGTTGCCAGAGAAAGAAGTATTAGAACAATTAACCTAATGGCCAGAACAATCAAGGCAGCATGTGAAGCTGCCAGTCACCCCAGAGTCAGGCTAAGTGGAAATCAGGGGCATTCCTGGAGGCTGTAAACTGCTATAAGAATTCTGTTACACAAGGAGATTCGAGCCTCTAAGCACAGAATGCTAGTGGCCACTTGAGTTAGCCACGAATGAAATGCTTGGCTTTTCTTTACAGAGCTATTCACAAAATAATACCCAAATACAATCAGCAGACTTTCTTGTGAGAGGCACAAGGTTAATCAGGAAAGTACATGATTTGTACGTTTACCACAACAGCAAGGCATTATTAACACCTAAGAGGCTAAAGACCGTGAAGGAACTGCAAAAGCCCGGCACAGTGTAAATTCATTATAAAATCCTTGAATTCAGACAGTGTTTAGCCATCACAGACAATGAAAGTGACTCCTCAAATGCCAGCTTTTCTACATGTGATACAGCACAGTAAGAGGCAGTATATGACTGTCTGGGTTCAAATACCAGCTCTGCCACTTACCAGCTGTATGACCTTGGACAAGTTGCTTACACTTTTAGTGTGTCAGTGTCCTCAGCTGTGAAATGGGGATGACAATACCCACCTCATGGGATTATTATAAAGATTAAATGAGTAAGATACGTGTAAACTTAGAATAGTGTCCAGTATATTTATGTTGTACATATGAGTCAGCGCTTACTATTCACTGTCATGTGGAACCTCGAGGAATACAAGGCTCAAGTATAACCTCCATGCTCTTGTTTCTGTAGGGATTATCTCCACATTCCTTCATGTTCACCCATTTGGAGCAAGCATTGAATACATCTGTTCCTACTTGCACCGTCTTGATAATAAGGTATATGGGGGCCTAAAATGGGGATGCAAGGGGATGTGTGGAGTTCTTTGTTAACAGGTAACCTGTTAACCTAACTCTCCTCAAGCATAAATAGGTCATTAGTTAATGCTTTCAGGAAGTTTCCCTCACCTGCTCTCTCACTGTGATTCAGAGCAGAGCTTCCCCCTTGCAAGTAGGATGACCGTGTGTCCTGGTTTGCTGGGTACTGAAGAGTTTCCTGGGACTTGAGACTTTCGATGTTAAAACCAGGGCAGTCTCAGGCAAACTTGAATAAGTTGACCATCCTTTTTCAAACATACATCTTAGAAGATTTTTCCTCTTTTCTCTTAATTTACCTATAAGCTGCAAACCAATCCATATCATCTTTCTTACCCATCAAACTTTTTTTTTTTGAGACAGGGTCTCACTCTGTTGCCCAGGCTGGAGTGCATTTGTGAGATCACAGCTCACTGCAGCCTCAACCTCATGGGCTCAAGTAATCCTTCCACCTCAGCCTCCTGAGTAGTTGGGACTACAGACGCATGCCACCATGCCTGGCTAATTTTTGTATTTTTTATAGAAACAGGGTTTCACCACGTTGCCCAGGATGGCCTCGAACTCCTGGACTCAAGCAAGCCACCTGCCTTGGCCTCCCAAGGTGCTGGGATTACAGGCATGAGCCACCGTACCCGGCCCCATCAAACTTTTGTCCTGGGTTTTTAGCCATTAGCCAATGTTCATTTTCAAAACGGGAAGTCTTACACCATCCACCTCTCCCACCATCACCCTTGCTATTGTCTATTACAAAACAAGGGAGGCAGGAGCAAAAAAAAAAAAAAAAGATAGAGCAATGAGCTGAGGACCTCTGTAACACAGACTGAATATTTGCTCACAGATGATCTCATGGTCCATTTCCTTCTCTGGATGCTATCCTTTGGGGGAACTCCTAGGGCATCTGGAGCAGGGGTAAGTGCTAATTCCCTAGGAAATCAAGGATGCCTCTAAGAGGCTGGAGAGGACTCTTGACTCCTCAGAATGAATCAGCTCAGGATACTTTTTTTTTTCAGAAGCAGCATTCAGGGAAATGTGCCCATAAATTGTACTGCCTATTTCATAGGATCTGGGACTTTCGAGAAGTGCCATTGAATATAGGTGCTGTCCAAAATGTTAAGTCATTTAAGCATATGTCCTCTTAACAAAGGCAGTGGCCCACTTGGGAGTCTTACTGTTCTAACCACATCCCAGCTGTGGTGATACATCCTCTTCAATGGCATTTGCTTTCATTCTAGCTAGCACTCCCCCTTCATTTCCCTCTGGGAAGTGATGCTATTCTGCAATTAAATGGCCCATTTGGCAGTGAAGGGGAGGATGCAATGTGAATACTAGGACCAAGCAGTCCATTGCAATGGTATGAAATTGAACTATGTGTCAGTAAAAACCATCTGCTGCTTTTTTAATTTACAAAAATAATACATGCACATTATCTTTAAAATGTAAGCCGTATAGAAATCTAGTAAAGGGAAAGTGCAGGTTACCACCCACAATCCCACTGCTCGAGGATAACCACTGTTAACAGTTTGGCACAGATTTCAGACCCTTTCCTGCGAGTGTGCTGCACCTATATTAAATGTATATGTCTATACACATTATCTATGTTTTCTGAAATAGAGATTCTACTCTGTATGATACCCTGGCATGTGCTTCGTTCACTTGACTGGATACGGCACTGGGACGAAGGCATAACTGCACTCCTAGCCTAGGCCTAGCTCCCCCTTAGCGACTTCCTGCCAGAGTAGTGCCAGGGCCTCCCAAAGAGAGCCTGAGGTGATACCAACAGAACTGGGGCTCCCTCCAGCTTCAGGGACATTCATTGTGGCGCCAACTCTGGGTTTCTTTCAGGATCCCCTGGTGCTCTTTACCCAAGCCCTGGTGCCAAGGCTCATAGTGAGGAGAGTAACTTACTAACTCTACTAATGTGAAGATGACCACCTAAAACAAGTCCTAAAGGAGTCCACAGATTTGTTTTTGTTTTCGTATTGAGGGGTGTGTGTGTGTGTGTGTGTGTGTGTGAGAGAGAGAGAAAGAGAGAGAGAGAGACAGAGAAGTGGGGAGAGAAAGACAATGCAGAGAAGTATGAACACAGAGCTTTCCCCATTCCTGTTACTTCTCCATTATGAACTAACGCATTTGTGAGGGATTCTGCTCTGGTGGCAGCCATTTCTACCTTCCTCCCCTCCGAAAAGGCTCAGCAGCTTCAGTGGACCTGCATACAGCATCACCAGCACTGAGCAGCCATCATTCAGCTTCTTACAAACCCAGGCCTTTCCACATGACTGACCCCAGCTCTTTCCAATAGCAACTCAGAGGACCCTGTATGATGGTCACAGCAGAGGAACGCTGCTGGCTGGAAGCCACTCTGCCAACACACACAAATGCGCAAGGAGCGGAAGGAGGTTCAACGCCCCCCACCCCCCGCCCCACCCCGCCCAACACACACACAGACACATCAGCATTCTAAAGTAGGAAACACTGGGAAAGAAGATTAGGAAAATAGAACTGATTTTGAATGGAGATGTTCTGTCTGTCCCACAGATCTGCACCAGTGATGTGGAGTGTCTCATGGGTAGACTCCAGCATACCTTCAAGCAGGAAATGACTGGAGTTGGAGCCAGCCTGGAAAAGAGATGGAAATTCTGTGGCTTCGAGGGCTTGAAGCTGACCTAAATCTCTTTGCCTAACAACTTGGGATCCTGAAGATAAATATGTGTTGGACAAGCATAGAAAGTGATTTGTATTTTTAATGGTTTTCAAGTGGAAGTTCCTTTGAATTTGTCAATTCATTCCTGGAAAATCTTTTGAGTTAAAATAAGGATCCTGGGACAGCACCTCGAACTACAGGCCCTAAAGAGAAATTGCCTCAAACCGCAAGTGCTGTAACTTCCTCCCCTTTCTGTCAATTGATTGTCTTTAAATATTGCAAAAGTCCTGAGGCTAAACAGTATTTGGAGTGTTTTCAGTGTCTGTACTACTGTTGTAGACTTTGGTATTTTTTTAAACACTGTTAACTGAAATGTTTTGATGATTTGTATGTGATTTGTGTTTCTAAACTTCTCTTTACATTAATGTTGCTACTGGTGAAAGGAATGAGAGCAGCACTAAGTCCTCTGTGTAACTGCCATTGTCTTTCCAATCCCCAGTAGACCAGTAAATAAATAACACATCAGTGTCTTCTAGAAGGTGCCTGACCAGGTTCACCTTTTCAATGACAAAGCATGGTTTGTGGCTTTTTGCAAAATTACTATGAACCAAAAGTTGACAAATGTTCCAAAGTTATTTTCTCTATAACATATCACATTAAAGGTCTGTTTCAGAATTGTAAAAAGTACATCTAGATGTGTTTGCAGAAAGCAAGTATCCAGTATGACTGGCATGTGTTCGTGCTATTCAGAATCACTTGTAAATAGTCTGCTTTTAAAGGAGGGCATGTTCCGTTTTCTGTGAATTAAAACACGCTCATGTGTGGACACACACGCACAAACACACGCACGTGCGCACACAGTGACAGAAGGGATTTGTGTTAATTTTCTTTCCCCTCTGGCCTTCTTACGGTCTCTTGGTCCCTTTGCTTCTGTTGTCAGTGTGTTGAATTGCAAACCGTGTACTGCTGTAAATACTATGTTTACTTCATGCTGAATGTTTGCAAAGACTTGATATAAGTATTAATAGTAATGAATCAATGAATAAATAATGAGCCAGGGTTTGTGAGGCTTTCTACAAATAAGTCAGCTCCACCTGGAGTGCGGATTGCCAGAGACACCTCCAGTTCTGTAGTGCCCATCTGCAAATCGCAATGGCAGCATGTGAGTGGACCATTCAGAAACTGCTGCTTGGTGGAAAGGAAATGGAGAGGATGAAGGTTTGGGGCAAATATCCTGAGACACAGATGGTCTTTATTGTGTGTGGTGGTGGTTGTGGTACTTATAATAATGCAAGCATACCCCCCCCCCTTGAGTCTCAATTGAAGATAAAAGAATGTATTGAGTAAGCAAAGCCAATGGAGAGTATTTCACGAAAATACTTTGTAAATGAAATGCCAGTAGTGTTCAAAGTTGTATTTTTAAAAGATAAATATTCCTTTTTATACCTCCGTTTTGTGTCCTGTTTTTAATGACTTTCTCTCTAAGTAATCCATTAGTAGTTATCTCAGTTCCTTCCTTTGGGTTACTAGGATGTTGGAAAAAGATGCCAAGCCTGCCGTGACAACTGGAAATAGGGTTCCACCGCAGCCCGTTCATGCTGCGAACTGGCTTTCCCCTCAAGCTGTGGCACCAGCAGGAAGCTAGGGTTCATTTTACACTGGCTCCCTCACTGATGCATCTCTCATCAACACTACGGAAGGCTTTGTTTCATCCGTCTCAGGGGCTCTTGGAATACCTAATTTTAATAATATCTATGAAATCAGGGGAAACTTTCCACTTACAGTTATTTCTTGTTTAAATAAATTAATTTTTAGGGGAGAGCAGTAGGAAAAAGAGCTAATGCATGCCAGGCTTAGTACCTAGGTGATGGATTGAGGTGCAGCAAACCACCATGGCACACATTCACCTATGTAACAAACCTGCACATCCTGCACATGTACCCCGGAACTTAAAAGAAAAAAATCCAACTCCTTACCATGATATTAATACCTTAAAAAAAATGTTTAAAGCAACAGCTGCCACACCTAAACACCTTACTCTCCTTCACTTAATCAACTTACATCGCAGATTGTCTGTTTCTGTTACTCCTGCCAGTTGAGTATAGATAGACTCCTCCCAGTTTGCTTGAATATACTAGTTGTTATGGTTAATTGTATGTGGCAACTTGGCTAGGCTGTAGTGCCGAGTTGCTTGGTCAAACACCAGTCTAGATATTGCTGTGAAGGTATATTTTAGATGTGATTAACATTTAAGCCAGTAGACTTTGAGTAAAACAGGTTACCCATTATCATGTGGGTGGACCTCATCTGATCAGCTGAAGGCCTTAAGAGAAAAGACTGAAGTTGCCTGAGGAGGGAATTGTGCTTCGAGACTGCCTTTGGACTCAAAACTGTGACATCCAACTCCTGCCAGAACTTCCAGCCTGCCGGCCTGCCCTACAAATCTCTAACTTGCCAGCACCCATAATCGCAAAAGCCAATTCCTTAAAATAAATAGATCTCTCTCATATATATCTATATATAAATAAGCATAGATATATAGAGATATATAGATATGAATGTGCATTACATTACACAATCAAATTGTGGCACATACCATCTCTCACAAACCTTTTCATTCATCATAGAAATCTATTAATGAAGCCGCTTTTTCCTACAAAGTCCCAGTGCTATTTATGGTTCTGTTGTTCCTCCAGAATTTTGAAATATTGCTGTTTTGTTATGTTTATGAGATACAGTAGTTAGCATTTCTTCAATATAATAATGAATAGAAGCTTTATTTTATTTTACAAATGATTTTTTCATCTCCTTCCCTAGTCCTGTGACATCTCTAATTCTGACTTTTTTATTACCAAGTTGCTTGTTAAATGTCTTCAATGCAAATGAAAGTTATTTTTCATAGAAAATTAAAGACACATCTGCATTCAAGTTACATAGAGGTTTTTTTTTTTTAAATTTTGGCCCCAAAATGTATGCTTTTCATATAAGGCAGAAGAAACTGTATTATTTGAAAAGATAGCATAAATGCACAAGAACTTTTAACTTGCCCAGTAGAACTATGTGAGCCCTTGGGATTCTCAGCTGTCTTAGATGGTACATCAGGTAGATATGGCTTCATTTTCTACCACAGTTGCTACCATCTGCTGAGCACCTATTAGGTAGTCGCGATGCCCAAAGTCTCTATCTGTGTGTCTTCAGGCAAGTTACATGGACACAACGAGAGCTTCAATTTCCTTATAGACAAAATTAAGAAGAAATAGTACCTACCTCACAGAATGGTAGGAAAGAGTCAATGAGGTAGCATCTGCAAATTGCTCAATCAGTGCTTGGCCCATAGTGAGTTCTCAATAAGAGGTATGATTGTGATTCAACCAAAGTTCATGACCTTACCCACATTTTAAAAAGTTTTTGTGGGCCAGGAGTGGTGGTTCATACCTGTGATCCCAGCGCTTTGGGAGGCCAAGGCAGGCAGATCACTTGAGGTCAGGAGTTCGAGATCAGCCTGGCCAACATGGTGAGACCCCCACCCCCCCACCCCGTCTCTACTAAAAATACAAAAATTAGCCAGGCGTGGTGGCTATAATCCCAGCTATGTGGGAGGCTGAGGCAGAAGAATCGCTTGAGGCAGAGATTGCAGTGAGCCAAGATCGCTCCACTACACTCCAATCTGGGCAACAGAGTGAGTGAGAGCCTGTCTCCAGAAAAAAAAAAAAAAAAAATGTTTTTGTGTTCATACATAGAACTGTACGGCCACATCATGTTGCTGGACTTCAAGACGAAATTCAGCTGTTTATACATACTCCAAACATTTACTCTGTCCCAAACACTGTCAGGCACAATGGGACACAAAAGGAGTATGGCTGGCCCCTGCCTTCAAAAACCCAGAAGGGTAGCTGCAACACACTGAACTTAAGTTTTTCACCCTTTAGCCAAAGCCGTCAAAGTTAATTGTGAAAATATTCAGTGCTGACCACCCATGAATTATGTCGATAAGGTGGTAATGACCTCTTGCTCTTGACACTTGAACTATTACTACCTATGCCCCCGCCCTACCTCCAGAGAATAAGCTGCATGAGAGTATGGTTCTCATTTGTCTTGTTTACTGCCATATCCTCAGAACCTGGTACACTGTGGGTGTTTAGTAAAGATTTGTTACATTAGTATTTGTGTAGCATTTTAAACTACACTCAGGCTGGGTGCAGTGGCTCACACCTGTAATCCCAGCACTTTGGGAGGCCGAGGTGGGCACATCTCCTGAGGACAAGAGTTGGAAACCAGCCTGGCCAACATGGTGAAACCCTGTCTCTACTTAAAAAATACAAAATTTAGCCGGGCGTGGTGGTGCACACCTGTAATCCCAGCTACACAGGAGGCTGAGGCAGGAGAATCGCTTGAACTCGGGAGGCAGAGTTTGCAGTAAGCCAAGATCATGCCGCTGCACTCCAGCCTGCGTGACAGAGTGAGACTCTGTCTCAAAAAAAACATAAAAAAAATAAATAAATAAACTACATTCATATGCACTAATAATAATAAAAGCTAACATTATTTAGTGATTCCTACTTAACAGGATATATACATGCGTGTATATACATATATATACATGCACACATATATGTATACACACACACGTATATATATTTTATGTTTACTACAATGTGAAAAGTAAATTTATTAGCCTCCATTTCAGCTGAGACTTGGAGATGTACAGTAACTTGCTTAATTTTTTTTTTTTTTTTTTCAGACAGAGTCTCACTCTGTCACCCAGGCTGGAGTGCAGTGGTGTGATCTAGGCTCACTGCAAGCTCCGCCTCCTGGGTTCATGCCATTCTACTGCCTCAGCCTTCCGAGTAGCTGAGACTACAGGCGCCCACCACCACGCCCTGCTAATTTTTTTTTTTTTTTTTTTTTTTTTTGCATTTTTAGTAGAGACAGGGTTTCACCGTGTTAGCCAGGATGGTCTCGATCTCCTGACCTCGTGATCCACCCACCTCTGCCTCCCAAAGTGCTGGGATTACAGGCATGAGCCACCACGCCCGGCTACTTGCTTAAGTTTTTAAGAGGCAGAAATGAAATTTGAATCTTGGTCTCTCCAATTACAAGCTTAAAACTTTCCACTGCACCAATATTTTATTTAATCTTCATATCAACTTAATTGGTAATATTATTATAAGCCCCATATTGTTCATTCATGTGCCATTATAGAGTGCCTGATATGTTCAAGTCTTAGTCCTGGAAATTCAAAGGTGAACACAACATGTCCCCTTCCCTCAAGAGCTTATATTCTGGTAGGGGAGCCTGCTAAATGACACAGTCATGGTGCCCCAGGTCACTTTATAACACTGTCACTTCTCTGAGCCTTTTTTAAATCTGTAAAGTGAAAATCATATATTTCCCTCGAAGTTTCATTTATGAGGTATTGATCAATGTAAAGTGCCTAGTACTATGCCTGGCAAAGTAAGTGCTCAATAAATAGCTATAATCATTATCCAGCCAATAGTCATATCAACAATGCTTTAATGACACCAGAGCTACCTTTATAGTAATGGGGATCCTATAAGGCCACACAATAACTTAAAAGAAGGAGACCTGCTGGCTCAGAGAAATTCAGGAGATTTTACTGAACAATGCTCCATTAGAGTTAGGTAGTGCTTGGCCTAAGCCAAACACAGTGAGGAAATTTCCTTCTACTGTCTTCTGATACGGTCTCAGTATCCTTCCAATTCTACCCACTCCCATTACGAGATAGACCACATCCCATTAACAAGAAGGCCAAGGAGGTCTTATCTCCTCTACCATTTCCCAAGATTCATAGCATCGTCCCAGTTTTTTAGTTTGACAGTAAGCTTTGAAGTTCTAAGCTTGCTTACGTTTTCTATCTGGGAGGATGACCTCAAAGGCATACTAAAGTAATTAATTATTGGGGCAACAGAAGGAAGGAAAAGAATTGATTATACACACAGGTATGCACATTCAAGGCTATAGAGCCCTATGGAGATGACATCAGATCTTGGATGGAAATGGTATACAGGACACATTAATGAGTGTTCTGCCCAACTGCATTCACTCTAAGTCTGTTTGAATATGAGACTACCCTAAAATGAATAATCCTCTGTGGCATCAGACCTCTGAAACTTTAACTTGTTACTATTCCTCAATAAATACCTTATATGGTGCTTTAAGCTGTTTTCAAAGTAACTCCGTGCACAAGCATTATGTCATTTGATCTTCACAACACACTGTGAACTAGCAGGGGCAGATGACTTCCTCACCATCATTGCAGCTAAGGAAAACAAGTCTCAAAAGATGAAGAACTATACCCTAGGTCGCACAGCTAAGTGGATGATGGAGCTGGGATGAGAATGTAAGATTCCTGAGTTCTCCCTATCTCTACCCCACTTCAGCTCCAGCCTCTGCCTATTATAGCTGAGGGAATATAAAGTAGGGGTTCTGAACATTTTTTGGTGTCATGAACCCCTTTGTAAGTCTGGTGAAGCACATGAAGTCCTTATCAGAATAACATTTTTTAAATGAATGAAATAAAATACAAAGGAAACCAACTACAGATGCTCCTTGACTTACTACGTGGTTACATGCCAATAAAACTATCATAAGTTGAAAATGTCATAAGTCAAAAATGCATTTAATACACCTAACCTGCCAAACATCATAGCTTAGCCTATGATGTTTATCTAACACAAAGCCTATTTTATAATAAAGTGTCAAATATCTCATGTAATGTGTTGAATACCATACTGAAAAGTGAAAAATGGAATCTGTTTCTGTACTGAAACAGAAAAACAGCACCAAACAGAAACCTGTATGAGTACTCAAAATACAATTTTTACTGAACATACATTGCATTCACACCATTATACAGTTGAAAAATGTAAGTCAAACCATTGTAAGTTGGGGACCATCTGGATATTGTAATAGTACACTTCTCAAAATATTTTTAAAACATGTTTGTGATATAGTAACGTATATGCTCCTTTAACACCTGAAATAGCAATATGAAACAGCAACAAGTCTAATAACCACTTCAGTTTTAAAATAGTGATGAGCATAAACAACCCAAGAAATCCGCAATATCATGTGATATGATAATATCTATGATACTGATGAAAAAGACGCAGTTACCGCTAACATCTCTGTATTTTGTAGCCTACATTTATAAGGAAAGAAAATACCAAATTTCAGTTAGAGGTTAGTAAAAATATGAATTTAACTTTTCCATCCAAATTCACACACTCACTAAATTCTACCTGAGGTCACTATGTAAAGAAGCACCAATAGCAGGAAGACTGATGAAAGGTAAAGTGAGAGTTCCCAAATCGGGACCAGGAGTAGCTTCATTAAATGCGTTAATATTTATAAATTACTTAGAATAATGTCCATCACATGGTAAGCTCTAAAGAATCACTTATTAAATAAAATATATTTTAAACAATAAGATTTATAAATGATTGAGATACTAATTCTTTGCACATTTTGAAATTCTAAGTCAATGCATAAATGACAGAAGATGCCTTCAAGTTTGCATTTCCATGTGAAGGAGTGACAGATGAGCTTCAATGTGAGCAAGTATAAAGTACTGCATTTAGGAAAAAATGAGCCACTACTCACAAGATGTTAGGCTCCAAAACATCAGTTCTAGCACAGGAAAGGGAACTGGGCGTTGTTGACGTCCCTGAAGACATCTGCCCAATGAGCGGTTGGTATCATAAAAAGGCAAGAAATTCCAAGCAGAGTTAAAAAAAAAGAAAGAAAGAAAGAAAGAAAGAAAACATAAGGCATTATCTTATCCCCTTTTAAGAAAATAAGTTTTGTGCCCACAGCAGTAAAACAGTCTGTTTCATGTGGCTGGGCCTCAAGACATGAAATTCAGTATTTCAATTCATATGTGGTTCAAGTGCTTAATCTGTCTTAAGACATTCTGCCAGACAATAGGGGATGTATAGATAAATCTGAGACACTATTCTTGAGGAGTATGAAGAGGAACTCAAAGAATCAAGGGTGTG